CATTGTCGGGAAATTGTCGAATTACTTTAAGTATTATTCAGTAGGCAATTCGAAAGACAAATACCCGACATTTGATACAACATTTAGCGTACATGTTTAAAATCTGGTATCAGGTGGACTGAGTGGGTGTAATCATGCATCGAACTGTGTGTAGTAAACATTAGGTACGTGTACATGGTGTATAGTTTAAATATATTAACTGTTTATTGGTGGCTGTCTACGTGTTAAAGGTCAGCGTCTGTATCTGTGGTTCTGTCCAACAAGCCACAACCTACCAACTTCAATATCACGCTATGAACTCCTGTTGGGTAACAAGTTCAAACTTCTAACGGCTCCATCAACTGGGAGTTCATAAACCCTGCCTTTGTGAAAGCTCAATGAAGTGAAGCATACATCCATTGAAACAGCTATTTTGGTGTCAGATTATCAATTAACAATAGAAAGTATTGAGACCAAATCAAATTAATGTTTTTATTATTTCATGACTTTATAGTCAAAAAGCAACATCAATAGGAATAAAAATAAACAGCTTTATCTAAGTGCGAATAGGTGAACTGAATAGACACGCGTATCGTTAGTCATCCGGGTCTTGTTTACGGCAGCTGTCATCATTTACGACAAAGTTCATCACTGCATGTGACACCACTTAACCGACCGATACACGGATAAAAGTGGAGGAATTCTGTTGATTTGTAAAGATATGGTTTTATGTGTTGGTGGTTTAGGGAAACCTCTACATTAAAATGAAGTTTGTATCAATCGAAACTTATTGCTGTGGGTGTGCCTTTTTACATAATACACATGCAGTGTATGGTCGTTTGTAATACCGCTATAGGGAACCTATGCACTTTTGTAGATGCAGTTATGGGAGGATTATGGTAATTTGTACGTAAGGCTACATATAGTGTATAGTCGAGCGTGCGTTTGTAGTGCAGCTATAGATCGTGTGTGGCCGTTTAACTGCAGCTATATACAGTGTATGGTCGTATGTACATACAGTTATGGCTAGTATATGGTAGTTTGTACATACAGTTATAAATAGTGTATAGTCGATTGTGCAAACAATTTTAGCTAAAGTACATATGTATAGTCGTTTGTAGGACATCTATAGATAGTGTATGATCGTTTGTACTTTGTACTTAGAGTGTATGACCGTTTTACATACAGCAGATATATACAGTGTATGGCCGTGTGTACATACAGTTATGACTAGTGTTCGGCAGTTTGTTAATACAGCTATATATAGTTATTGTCGTTTGTAGTGCAGCTTGACACATGTAAAGTGTATAGTCGTTTGCCCATAAATCTGCAAGAAGTGTATTTTTTTGTACAGAACAGCTATAGTTTGTGTATGGTTCTTTATAATAAGTTGTAGATAAGTGTATGGTCTTATAGTCCAATAGAAGAGATTATCAGAAAAGACAATCCTAGAAAATATTGTATAAACCGCATGTTCTTTAAATCCGAAAACCTGTTTAAACCAGAACAATAATATACTATAATTGCATTTATCAAAATGCGTGTGTACATATTGACAATGTTTATTATCGTGGGACAGGGGAGCGGATACTAGCTGGAATAGTTAGCCCAATAATCTATCAAAGTTTCTAGAGGAAGACGCTGATAGACGGAGCACAGGTAAGTCTGCACATCAATTACACACACAACGCACGTGCTCACAGTAATGGTTGTAAATTTCAAATACATCTATTCCATTCTAATGACTCTTGTATCTGGTCGTTATCGCCAAGAATACCCCCTATTGTCTGTAACTCTATAGCGTACGTCTCCCATCCGGCTAATGTATATACTCTTCTTCACATTCAGTCGCTATTGCAGAGAGCACGACACAGAATTATTGAACCCGATCGATGGAAGCGAAAAGCTTCGAAACAATTGGACGAGCAAATTTATACCACACTTTGGTATTCAAAATAGATGTGCTATCGACGAAATCCATCTCCTTAGAGGGTCATAGGGTCTCCGAAGACCATCCATTTGGTCAATAACAGAGCCCATGGATGTAACAAACGGCAGGTGCCAAAGCCGATCGCGACCTATCGACCAATCAGAGACGTTCTTAGATGATTCGGTTTGTGACAAGCCTGGCCACGATGTGTAAGCAACGTATGGTTTCCAGTGTAACTAGAGTGTTAGTATGTAGTCTCCGTGCGCCTTTCAATAGGTACTTTTATTGTGTCCTGGGTAAAGAGCTAAGTGACAATTTCTGATATGGACCGTGCAGTGAGCTTGTAGAATTGTAAGTGTGTTTGTATCAATCATTTATATGATGAGTGTTAAACTTGACTGACACTTCTTAGTTTCGTTTTGTCGTGTGAACCAGTATCATGTTAAAAAAGTAAAGCGTAACCGGAACCTGATCATGAGTTTCAGGTGTGCAGGATGACAGATAAGAGCAAAGTGCTGTATGTAAAATGTAAATAATACCGGATTTCGTTATCGGTGAGGTCACGTCGGCATTTCTACTTAAAATTTGTCGCTTTATAAGTGTGTGATACGTACGAGTGTGTGCGGTATATTTGACGAGCCGCGTGTCATTCTCGTGTGATGGTGTAGCTTTATTGAATCCAATGAAGCATGCCTATCTTGCCAGATCTTTGTTGCTGAGGTGGAACCGTTAGATTTGTCACATCGAGTCGTTATCATTAAGGTAGGACGCACAAAATCAGACGCACAATTGTTGACATACCGCTGTGGGATAGGCAATACTCGGTGGGAGAGACGCGTGGTCTATTATTTTGTGTGTGTTATCAAGCGCGAAGTGTCGGTCCACAGTGCCGTATATTGTTTATCTGTCGCAAAAGGTACTTGTGGGCAACTGCCTCGTTTATGGAACTTATTACACACGTCCAATTTATTATCAGGAATGTTTGTTTTGTCTGGGGTAAAGCGCTTGGTGACAGTTTCTTTTAGAAGTTTTATCTATTTCATTTAAATTGTATTCGAGTTTCCAATATTTTTTTGTGATACGGTGTTACTTTCACATTGAATTCCAATTCTATAATAATTTTAAACAAATCCGCTGTGTGTTGAGACCTCTGTGTTCGATAACTTTTACAAACCTATTGCGCTCATAACCCTCGTTTGTGATTTTCAATTCTATCGGTTCCTAGTGGATTATTGTTTACACTCCGCGGACGCCATGCTACGTTTTACGATTTGAATTGCAGAAATTCAGTCATGTATGCATGTGCCATTCTGTGGATTTTATTTCATTGTGTGTTATGTGAGGATGAATCCCTGGCGGCACCACTAAAGGCGGGTTTAGGCGCTCGCCGTATCGCCCGTAAGGAGGGGGATGTGATTTTCGGGGCGTTGCTACCCATGCACAAGAAACCACCGGAAACGACTGTATACACTCGTTCTTGTGGGAAAATATGGGAACAGTACGGCATCCACAGACTGGAAATATTTTTGGAAACTGTTGATAAAATAAATGCAAGTCCCGACATTCTTCCCAATGTTACGGTCGGGTATGATATTCGAGACTCGTGCTGGTATTCGCCAATAGCGCTAGAACAGAGCATTGATTTTATTAAAGATTCGTTGGCGAATTTAGATGCAGAGGAAGCTCGCCAAAATAACTCAACGCCTAAAGGAGATTGTAAAACGGAAAACCGGAAGCCTATTGTTGGCCTTATTGGGCCTGGCTCCTCTCACAATACCATACAGGTACAGAACTTGCTTCAGATCTTCCATATCCCACAAATCGGTTTCTCGGCCACAAGTATGGAGCTGAGCAATAAAAACTTGTATGGCTATTTTTTGAGAGTGGTTCCCTCGGACAAATACCAGGCTCAGGCCATGCTGGACATTGTCATTAGATACAACTGGACATACATATCAACAGTCCACACGGATGGTAAGTAAAACATTTTTTTTTTTCATTACATATTAAATGTGTACGTGGACAGATGATTCAAGTTAAGATTTCAAGTTCAAGTTGACCTCGGCGAATTAAGAATAAACTTCAGCGCATAGGCTACCTTGAGCAGAACAAAACAAACAAGAAGATAAAACAATCATACAAATTGCGTTCCAGGTCCTAGGGAATTTTGTAACTCAACCAGAGTCCGTGCCTACAAATGACGTCATAGTACATTGTATTATAATCTGTGCTTAAAGCATGATATTAATGTTTGGAGCGTGCCACAATGTTCGTCATGCATTCTAGGATACCCTCTGAAAAACGCATATTCTCCAAAAAGAAATATAAATAAACCTATATAGGATTCTATTAAAGTCCCAAAACATCCCCTGTCGATAACCATGTATACAATTTCGAAGATATTCTCTGTCTGGAAAGAACCCTAACTTCCTACTTACACCACAAAATCATGACTTACTTGAGTGCTGTCATGTACTTCAGCACCTAAGCTGGCCAGCCATTGTGGAGATGGTTATAATTACGTAATTATGGTGTGGTGTAGAATGGGTTTACCGGTAAAGGTAAGGCACTGATGTATGTGACTTCCACATGCTAGCGTCTGTCTGGAGAAACAGAAACACTTCTATACCTACAAAACGTTAATTGGTTGGAAGCACGATTTAGTAACTCACAGGAAATCTTGAAATTTTCAACCTTATTTCATGTTTTGAAAAATAAAAATAAAAATAAATCCATTCAGCTTTTTAATTCTCCGTTTTTTTAGCAACCAATTTAACGTGCCGTTTCTAAAATAAAATATAAATGTAAACTGGATATTTTCAAACATCAAAGACAGGAAGTGGTTTATTTTATAAGATTTCAAGCAATAATACTCCACGACGGACCTGCTTAGTATATCTTGTCGAGATGCGCGGTGAAAGCTAGCTACCTGACAGTACCAGTGTTTGCCCAACCCACATGTGCCTCGACTAACCCCCTAGAACATTCACCTACATTTCAACCTGTGTTTGTAAATCGTCGACGTTCCCCGGCATAGTGAAGTCTTTGTATAGGGTAAAAACATGATTACCTTGGCCTTGAAATGACACTTGACGTTAAAGAAAGTAAAATACCTTGGTGATTCGAGATGGGTTTTGTCTACCTGTCCCGTGTAAACTTTGTCACCTTTCCTGTATAATTTTTACCTGTCAGATAAAGAGAGGTTACCTTGCACCGCGTGTTTTAGTTTTCGTTGGGAAGGGCACAATTACATAATAGTGTGAAATAGCGTTATGTACACTGTAACATTCGCAATCGTGATATTGTCAAAAATTCTTCCAAAAGCCTCGGGGGCTTGGTATAGGGAATTTCGTCACTACAAATTTCACAGAAACTCTTTCTTTATACAGATCCTGTTTGTTGTAACTGCGTGTTTGCGTAAGTTTCTCTGAATAAATAATTATATTTCGTAAACTAAGTAAGTGCACCACTTAAACACGTTTCCGTGCAGTATTCGTAAAGGGTTGCCGTCATGGTGTAAGTTACGCATAAACGATTTTGATTATAATTTATTATTTATAAAACGAATGCATTCAACCTTTCCGTGTTGTCGAAAAATATATTCTTCCTTTTTTATAATCTTTTTGATACTCTGTACTTTGTTTTAATTGAAATATGTATATATCAACAAACCAAATAACAAATGAAAATACAAAGTCATTATTTAGCAAGAGTGAGTCAGCAAATTGTTTAAATATGGTAAAATTCATTAAAAAATATGCTGTGTGGGAATATTGTACAATATCTAAAGTATCCAAAGAATCGATTTTCTGGCAATTAAACTCGTCATAACTTGTTCGTTCTGTTTCATGTGTAAATCCGATGCGCCGTGATAATTTTCTGACGTCTTCAGTTTGGTTTAACAACAACATATGAAGTGTATTTTAATAACGTTACAAGAAATTGTACATAAAAATATCGAAAACGGAAATCTAGCCCTTTGATATAGATTTAAAATATTTCGTTTTCAATTTTTTTTATACAAAATACACTTCGTGATATTGTTCTGAATAAACGACGTTTAGATAAGCCATAACAAAATACGAAATCATTTAAATTGAATGTGGGCTGTCTGTGTAGCTCCAATATTGATTCTCAATTACCTTGTGTATGTTTTTCAGTTTCAAGACAGCTATAAGTCATACCAGTATGTCATAAATCATTCTTGATTTTCTCAAATTTAGCTATTAATGAAGCTAGCCATGATAACGGTTACTCTGCTGAAGTCTAGACAACTGAAGCCCGGTTACAGAGTTTAGAAATGTAGCTGTCTATACAATCTAACAAGAACTAAGTGACAGGACTAATTACATGCATCATATTCCTAATACATTATATCGGTCAGTCAATATTAAATTAACGTTGCAATTTTTTGTAAGCTAATAATTGTATAAACAATAAACAACAAGAAAATCGCTGGCGAGAAGTCGACAAGGATTGATGCTAAAGTAGCTGGTATATTCAGATTTGTGAGTCCGGTCTGAACTGTGAAGTTCCTGAGATTCTACAGTGTGTCTATTTTAGCAGACTAGCGAGATTTGTATTTGATATGTCATTCCTGTAGAGGAATGAATGGATGCAAAAAATACATCTCGATTTCCCCGGAGATCCCCTATTTTTGTATAAACAGATGTAGAGCAGTCTGGTTTATGATCGCCAGGATAATGTTTTATTTGTTACGACATGTGTGCTGAAGCAAAATGATAGTTATTGTGAAAAACCTTTATAATCAAACACCTCCGCTTCAGGACCAACGTTTAATCAGACCGGATCTTAAGTGCATCAAATGGAATTGTGAACAGGAAATGGATTAAGGAAACATCGATTATGAAAAAGCCGATTAACAGGAACTGTTTGAATACCAAATGTACATTGTAGGTAGGGTTGTACAAGGTAGTGATGAGTTAACACCAAAAACAATGATACTTCATCCTCATTGACCTGTAGCTGGTGTCATGGCGTGGTAAAATTGTGGAGTTAATATAATTGGGAGGGGGTGGTGGTGGGGGTAGGATTTGGGACATTTTACAGGCAAGTTGACTTTTGACTTTTGCAAAACATAGATGTCAAATCGTTAATCATCCAGTAATATGATAAAGGAACGTATAACGTACTACGCAAACTTTGATAGGACAGACGTTTCACTGAAACGTTACAGAAAACCCTGTTTACTTATAAACCATATCAGAAATGCGCAGATATCATTCAAGTTCAGTACTGATCTGTACTTAAGAATCACTGACTGGATACCCACACAGGACGGGGTCAACTTATCATAACACAGTGTGTGTGTTGACCGATAATGATATAATTTGTCAGCTTGTATGTTTTATAATACATCGTAGTTGTCAGAGGTACCTAATCACCTTACTGACTTTCAAAGACGTCATAGGTGCATGCTTTTACAATACGTGTCCATAAGCTCCCATTGGTGTCTCCTTATGGTTCCAAAGACCCCATGTTCCGAAAGTCCTCTAATCCGGAGGTCCGATATTCCGTTGTCTACACAAAATATATTTACTTCTAATCAAATATTAATTACTTATTTATAGGCCCAGTAGGCGGAACATATTTATCATTTTATTACAAGGATGGACGCATGCAAATAGCTTCTTATATGCAACTGTACTTGTAAAAACCTATAGATTTACAAAGTTATTATATCTATCTGAATTTATCTCATTTCTGTAACTGCGGTTGATCCAAACTCTAACTGTCCTGAAGTTGAAACTAAATTCCGTGCAACAAAAAGATTATCTTTAATATTTGCGAATGAACAAGTGTTCTTGGTTGTATCTGTTTTAAAAATAGTCCATTGTTGACTCATCAAAGTGTGGGAGGAAACCGGAGTACCCGGAGAAAACCCACGTCGTCGGGCAGATGACCAAAACCTTGTCACGTCCGATCGGGGAATCGAACCCCGGCCGCCTTGGTGAAAGGCAAGTGCGCTATCCACTACACAACCCGACCAGTAATACTGGTAGACATGAATTTGGCAAGAAAATCTGTGTCAAACCTCTATTCACAATCTTCAATGAATGATATTGGTCGCATAGATATAAGTAATTTTAAGTAGCATAACATATATCATGTCCACGTCATGTTTCAAGTTAACCTTTCATATATGCGCACGACTATATATATGGAATTGTAAAGGTAAAGATTGAATTGCACTTTCTATAGACATCCGTCACGGTTCCCTGATTACGTAAATTATCTATGAATTGTTTATGAACTAGCATCCTGTTTGAGTTGATTTTAAGTTAGCTGTTTAGAAATGTCAAGGTATAATGTCTCTATTTTCTAGAAATAGAATAACATTTTTTAATTCCATGTGTCAAGGTCAGCATTAGTTTTAGGTAAATATTTCATATACAATGGAAATTACTGACGGCTAAACACCAAGAAGAGTACACATGGCGAATTAGATGGCATTCGGTACGGAGGTAATCGTATAGATCATTATCTTTGTATTACTGAACAATGTTTTGATGAATAAAAGACCCACATATGGAGGTCAATTCGCAGCCAGATATGAGGACGCTATCAAACCAGCATTGATCATTGTTTTCTAGACAAAAACACACATCCAACTGTATTGTATGGACAAACACCATCCTGCATGTTACAAGATTCGCCATGGATTAGATTAAAAGTGGTTCTGGTGAATGAACTTCACATAAGCTTGCACATTACCGGAACCAATCTTGTAATTCTAATCTCCGGAATCGCCGTCGGTATCATGACCGCCCGCTATCGTCCCTAATGATGTTGGTAGAATCACCGTATGTGGATTTGATGAGCTACAGCCGTTATCAATATTTGTTAATTAAACGTGTAATTATATCCAAAAATCAATACCAATTTCGGTGATCATTCGACCGTCCTACCATCTTATTGTAATTCGCGGAAACTCGGTCCGGTTGTTCCTGTAT